GCTGTACAGCCTTATTCTGAAGGAAAATACATACGGCTTCAGCAGCATTTGAAAACCTAGTATTTTGCCCTTGAAAGTTAAGTATAGTAAAATAGACATATTTGGGTGTCTTTTTCTGAAAATTACTGAATTCTAGGTGGTTCTAGTGCTAAACAAGGCACTAACTCAGGTTACACTGAGAGTTAGAGTAACTCTTTTCCATTGTGTAACACTTCCCATTTAGCAGAAAATGCTGAACTAAACCAAGTCTTTCTTTCAGTAAATCAGTATATAAATGCACATTTTTTTCACTATTATTGTCTCTAACTGTACTGAATGATAGCACATGATTTACAGTAGATGGACTACCATAGTTCTAGATGATAAGTTAGAGTGGAGGGGTTTGTTGTTATTGCGCGTTTTTTTTCCTTAATTCTAGCTTGATGGATCTAAAGGGTTCATGTCATAATGCCTGCATTTTTCTCATTGAACCCCATGAGTTCAATCAGGGTAAGAGCAATCTCTTCTGTGACAGAACCACACCTGATGCAGGCTACAGCAGCAGCAGAATAGGTGTCTTTTTTCACCAAGTTAAGCCACAAAGTTTTGGGTTTTGTTTTGTTGTTTTTTGGGTTTTTTTGTCACAAAATATACAATCTAGGATTATTATATAGCAAATCGGAAATTGGCAAAAGGTTATTTCTACCTGGGAAGCTATCATAATAATTTGATGCTGATGATAGATGAAATTGAGAAGTGGCATAGCCCACCACTTCTGTTTAAATCCCACTTCAAACAGTTACTAACACTATAAACAGCAAAGTTACAGTATGTGTGGATTTCATGAATAGAAATTCTTTTTTAGTAACTTGATACTCAGTTTGATTCATTGTCTGAAACACCTATCAGATATTTTCTCTGACCTTGAAGTGTTCAATGAGACTTGCACAGAGAGAAATTGACCCTGAGACACTGAGGTTAAAATTTCCTTAAACTAAATTGGTGTACTAAAGAAAGATAAAGCCTGTCATCTTGTACTGAAGTTAGTAAAACAATTAGCAAGCTTCGGAGAGCAATTTACTTTCTTAAATGACAACTTTATCTTTGGACATAAGATACTGGTGTTGGTTCATGTCACACCTGCTTTTGCTTAATTTTATCTATACAGACAGCGGAGTTACTAGATCATTTCACAGTATTAAAAAAGGTTGAGAATAAAGATTAGTTAATCTGCCTGTTTTACACAGGCATAATTTTCAATTTAAAATAGATTTTGATTTTTGCAGAATAGTAATGAAAGTTTAAAAAATTATGCATGCATGCTGAAATATCTATTAAGATCTTACATTTACTAATCTTATTTGAATAAGACAATTCATTCAGAAGACACTATGTAAAATCAGTACTGCCAATTTTAAAGTAAAGGTTTTAAAAAATGTTTCTTTAAAAATACACATCAAAAAAGTCACTTATTCTTTCAGCATTAGCACAGAAAAGTATATATTCAGTTACCCAAATGCTGGTTAAAACCAGTTATTTAACAAGAAGCACCACAATTAGAGATTCATATGGTGATGAGATTTAAGAGCTGTAAGTATATGCAGCCTACATGTTAAAGAGCGTACATGCTGTATGAGTACCTGGCAGAGACGAAAGCCTGTGCCAAAGGGTTTACAGTTTAATGGTCTGAAACTTCTTGTTGAATAGCTGCAACATGAGTGCAAAACTGCTTGCAGTGATATCCTTCAAATATACTTTAGTAATGACAGGGTAACAATTAGAACAATAGGAAGGAGTATGTGAAAGATAACAATGGTAAACATCATCAATTCAGACTTTTTCAGTGGCAAATTTAAAATCTATATATTACAAAGCTTAAAGTCAAAGAGCTACTGCAACACCCTTTTTCTTCTCTTCTGTATGTTGTTGGAACTATGGGATGACTGCAGAGAAAGTTCGAGATGGAGAAGGTTGACTGCTCTTCCCTATGGTCTATGTAGTGCTTTACCTAGACCATAATTAATTAATAGAATGCAATAAATAACTAAACAAATATACACACTATGCTATGGAGATAGTTGATGATATTTATGCTGTATGAAAATTTGCCTTAATTTGTGTAGAAAGTGTTGCTCCTCTCTATAGGCCATATCTGCTTGATGTAGCAACAAAACAGAAGCAGAGCTCTCATACTGGAATGAGCAAACGGGCCACAAAGCTAGCCATATTGGAAGCTGGACTGTTAAATAAAGTGCTTGAGGGAAAAACTCTTGAGCTTTGAGGTTGACTGTTGCACTGATTTCCAGATTGATTTGAGAGTATACACAGCCTTTCTGACCTTTTGTTTCTTTGGGTGAAAAATTACACTGATGTTAGGTATAATGATTATATTTAGAATTGATTGTTCTAAGGATTAAGTTATTTTTAAACGGGAGATGAATTACACAAATCACAACTGTTGTTGTAATGATAAATCTTTATGACTTGAAGCAGGAGAGAAAGGTGATCCTACAACCCATGTCTTTGTAGTTCAACGTGGCATGATGCAAAAGCCTAGCACCAACAAAACCTGTGCTAGAATCACAAGCAGCATGGCTGTGTGATTGCAGTTCTGTGCCAAATGTGGAAAGACAGATCTTGGGAATCTGGAAATGTCACTTACTTAATGAAACTCCACTGCTTTGAGGCTGCAAAGTCATAAAGTCTGGTGTGTACTCTGTTCTATGTTCTGTATATATAAAAAAGGAATCACTTTTGTGAATATATTTTAGTAGACCTACATCATGCCATATTTTTTACTGAGTCTTCCCTACAAGTTTTGCCTTTGAAGCAAAAAAAGTCCCAAACATAAAACCTGGGATTTCCATTCACTGACTGTGAAGGAATAGATGACAGTGCATGCCTAAAGTGAGCATGCTATGTTTTGTCTTTCTTTTACATAGTACAAAGCTGGACATAATGACACATCATTTGAAGTCTTTGTGTTTGTAATATTAGTGTTGTTTGTCTGTGGTTCTTTTTAAAGGAAAAGGAGGCCAGAAAACTAAAAACTGTGAATAGACCTTTTCCTAGCTGTAATGACAAGAAAATGCTAAAGACTTGGAATACAGATCTGCTTTCAAGAATTAAAGTGGTACATTTTGAAAGAAAAATGACTGAAATATCTGGAATAATTTTGCAGTTTAAGCCCAGCAGGCCTAAGAGTGCTATGTGGCCACTCACACACTCCTCCCCCAGAAGGCGTAGGGAGTAGAAAATAAAACAAAAAGCTCATGAATCAAGATAAGGACAGGGAGGGATCACTCACCAATTATGGTCATGGGCAAAAAACAGACTCAACTTGGGGAAAACAAAACAATTTAATTGTTATCAGTAAAATCAGAATAGAATAATGAGTACAAACAGATCTGAAAGTTAGCATCTTCCCCCACCCCTCCCTTCTTCCCAGGCTCAGCTTTGCTCCTGATTTCTATACCTCCTACCCCACATAGACAAAGGAAGATGGGGAATGAGGGTCATAGTCAGTTCACCACATGCTGTTTCTGCCAGTTCTTCCTCTTCAGAGGTAGGGAGGACTCCCCATACTCTTCCTCTTCTCCAAACGTGGTGTTCCTCCCACAGGATACCTCTGTGAACTTCTCTGATATGAGTCCTTCCCATGGGCTACAGTTCTTCATGAACTGCTCCAGCGTGAGTTCCTTCCATGGGGTCCAGTCTTTCAGGGACAAACTGCTCCAGTGTGGGCTTTTCACAGTCCTAGACTTCTTTGGGTGCAGCCACTAGCTCCAGTGTGGGATCCTTCACAAGCTGCAGGTGGATGTCTGCTCCACCGTTACCTCCATCGCTGCAGAGGGACATCCTGCCCTCTCACCACAGGTTGCAGTGGTACCTCTGCTCTGGCACACCTCCTCCTCCTTTCTTCCCTCACCTTGGTGTTTGCACAGTTGTTCCTCTCACATCATACTCCTCTCTCTACTGCATGTTTCTTCTGCTGGTTCTTGAAGAGTTTCCGTCTCTTGAGCTGTGTCTGCAGTGGGGCTTGGACTGGGGCTGGACAAGACTGGACCAGCCAGGGCCACACTGGTCAGGGCCAGGGCTTTGGGGAGGGTGCATGGACTGCACCTCTCTTAAATATATCATTTGCAGAGGCACTGGTTAGCTCAACCTTGGTCAGAGGCAGGTCCAAAATTGGAGCCAGGGAAGCTTCTAGCAACTTCTCACAGAAGCTACCTCTGTAGCCCCTCTCCTGCTACAGAAAAACCCATTCACACAAACCCAATAAACATAGTTACACTTGGGAATTTAGCAACACAAATGAAGCATGGGAGATAGACAGCAGTATAGCCTTCATATGCATGAGATGGGATGTATAGTAAGAATAAGAATCCTGTACTCAGTTAGAATCAAGTGCTCAAGCATTACAAAACGTGGCATAGAAACATATGCTCCACTCCTAGAGACCAGTTATAAACAGAAAGAAAATGAAGAGTGTCATTTTCAGTTCACATAAATATTCTTCAAACTAGAGATTTCAACATGAAGCTGCAATTCTCTTGTGCATTTAAATTATGAACAAAACATACAAAAAAAGGACTCAGTCCTTTTCTCTTTGTTTTGTTCATAATTTTAATGCAAAAATTCTACCACTTGATAATACCATTATTACCTATACCAGAGCTGCAATTAAATTCTACAGTATAAACCTGAGGCATTTATATTGTGCTGTGGAATAGTTACCTTTGACCAACATACAGAGCGATGGGGTTTACTAAATAAAAAAGGAATTTGAGATCAGTCAGGAAGCTAAATTTCTTGTCTCTGTTATGCCTGGTACTGAATAAAGTTAAATGTGTTCAGTTCTCTGTTTTGAAGGAGTACAATTCTCATTCTGTGTTATTCCAGTACTTCACATGGAGAAGGATAAATATCTTTTGAAATCAATGTAGCATGGTAAATCAATGTCAAATTTTCAAGGTATTTGATCACTGATTTTTTTCTATGTCTCTGTTCATTATTTTCAGACACAATCAATGCAGTGGATGTATGATATCAATGGGCTGCCTCCACAGACTGTACCACATACAAGCCCAGCAAAAGTTGTTTCTACCAGCAGTTACATAAGATCAGCCACAGTTCGACAGCGCAACTTTATACTTGAAAACCTGAAACTTATAACCACTGGAGTATCCTCACCAATCAAGGGGGCACCTTTGCTCCTGAGGACAAAATATAGAAAGTTGTGATCATCTGTTTGTTTTGGTGGGGCAGGAGAATTCTGTCAAATAAATTCTGCAGATTAAAACAGGATATGTTTTGGGCTTTTTTTTTAAGCAGATACGATATGCATTGATTGTATGCTTTAGATGGAATATTCAGAGTGCCTGAGCTCCACAGATATTCTTATTTTTTCTATGAGGGATTTTGGATGCTTACCTAACAGTCTATGTATATCATACAGATGTCAGCAAGTTCTAATGACAAAAACTTTGAGTTGAAAAAATAGACTTGAAATTTGGGGAATTCAAACTAATGCTTTGCTTCCTAAGGGATATTAGTTTAGTAAGACTTTAATAGGAAGATTTAATGAACATTCTGTATGATGTTCAACATATTACAACCATGCAAACCAATAAAGCAAACCAATCCGTGATCTCTTTCATGATAAAATCCTTACCCAAAATTTGCAGTATTTTGCTAAAGGTAAAACATGTTTACATGTCATATGTCCAGAGCTTGAATGTTTTTCAGATTCTTTCGCTTTAGCAAATTTCAATAATTATGACATCTTTGCTTTATCTAAAATAAGAATCATTATTTATTCATCCCATAACACTTCAAAATCTAAGATAATTCTAGATAACATAAAATGAAAAGACAATGTCCTCCCTCAGTATTTTTCGTGTTGAGTAAATTTTAGATAGTGCTCTAGAATATTGAAACATAGAAGACCATGAAAAAGACAGTATAGAATGGAGCTAGATTTTAATTTTTTTTAAAAATAACCAAAGCAGAGGTGCCAGTCATACTGTGATTCTATTTCCATTCTTCCCATCCACAGATGACTTTAGATGAGTATTCAGGTTTTCTTTGCTCTTAATCTGGAAAATCAGATCTATGCAGACCCTTCACAAGATCACTGGATGAGTAGCTCCTTTCTTCTTTCTTCGTTGAGACTGTTTTTCCTGATTTTACTAACAGAAAGTAAATTGTATTTGTGCCTTTATTTTGATGGCAGAATGTACTTTAACAAAAAATTGTTTGGCAGAGATTAAGTGCTTTCTTGGCACAAACAGAGAATGAGCATCATTGTCCAGGAATGGGGAGCCTGAGAACAACCTGTGTAGGTCAGTGTAAATGAGCACCAGTAAAACCATTTTACCGCAATGTGCTTGAGGATTTTGTTTATACCACACATTTTAGAGAAGCTATTACAGAAAATGTAGGGAACATATAAAACCACAATGACACTATTTAATACCTCCTTTTAAATGCAGAGTGCCCATTTTGGTCAGAAACCAGGTAATCTGAAGCAAGAACAAAATCTGCCTCACAGGAAAGATATTGTCAATAGTGATGTCTCGTATATATCTAAAAGACATTACGAAGCTATTGCAATATTTATCTTAAATGCTACAGGGACCACAAGTAGATGGTAGGTTTCATATGACTGAAGCAAGTGTTTCTCTGGCTGTAAGAAATCAGAATTTCTGGATCAGAAATATGCAATGGTTTCACAACTGGTTGTTGCTCTTGGTGTTCAGGATATATTTCAATGTCAACTTTTCTTTGTAAAAGCTTTGCTTTACTTGTTTCACTTTTTTAAAGTTTTGCTGACATATTTAAAATTACTCCTGTTTGCAAGATGCTCAAATTCTACCAGACATGGATTAGAAGGTGGTATATATTAGCAGGTGGTATATAGGTGAATCTCAACAAATGGTGCTCACTCCAGAAATTTTATTTTATAATTTGCTTGCCTGCACTTGCTGTTACATGTAGCAGATTTTCAAATTCTGTCATACATTCAAACACTTAAAAAAAAATCCATAGGTGAATATTACGCAATAAGTTAATATCAGAGGGTTGTTTTAAAAGGTGCAGTTTGATTATCTGTCTTAAAAAGAAAGCATAATCTATGCTTTCTGGACCATGTTAGGTTTTTTTTCGGTGTGTTTGAGCTCACTTATGAGTATTACAAGGTATGCCATCATCAGCTGAATTTGTACCTACTATTATAAATGTCTTGCATTTTCTTATTTCCTACAGTGCTTAAACAGAACTAAAAGTATTTTTGTTCTAATATTAAGAAAGTAGTTGCAAAGGTGATTTAAATAAAGACCATTGCTTCTGTGTGGTTGTAACATACACAGTTTTACATATTATCCACATGCATTTATGGATTACGCTAATTATATACACCGTCTCATAAAAATAATGTCCCTTTTACTTCCTGGCTTGATGCTTTGCACCTCCAAAAGTGATGTGACTATATTATTTCTAATGTAAAAACTATCTCCCCCATCTAAAAAAAAGGGCCACAAGGAAGACCCGGGGAACTACAGACCTGTCAGTCTGACCTCGGTGCCAGGGAAGGTGATGGAACAAATCCTCCTGAGTGCCATCACATGTCACATGCAGGACAATCAAGAGATCAGGCCCAGTCAGCAAGGGTTCAGGAAGGGCAGGCCCTGCTTGACTAATCTTAACTCCTTTTATGATGAGGTGACCTGCTTGGTGGACAAAGGAAAGGCTGTAGACGTTGTCTACCTGAACTTTAGTAAGGCCTTTGACACTGTCTCCCACAGCATCTTCCTGGAGAAGCTGGCTGGGCATGGCTTGGATGGGCATACACTTTGCTGAGTTAGAAACTGGCTGGATGACCGAGCGCAGAGAGTTGTG